CGACAGTCGGCTAGTTTTATTTAGATGGTAATGTGGTAGGTTCACTCCTCCAAAGGTATACATACTTGATCTCTTTCAGTACATAGTAACTTATTCAGTATCGAAATTGACAGCTAAATAAGTAGATATTTAAATCATCTTTGAAAAAGCTTTACAATATACAGGTATATTATACTTTTATCGTATTATCATTCATTATCATATCTTATTTATAAAGCGAGGTACGTTGATAGTGTCATGTGAGAACTACTGTATTTGGTGCCTTACGTAACCTTCGTTAGCTTTCTACATAAAATACCAAATTTTCAGTTCTCTTTCTCATTCCATTTACGATCTAGAGCTCCATGACACACGGGCAGATAGATAGACAGACTTTGGGTACGGAACCCTAAAAAGTTAATAAACCAAGCTTACACCTGTTCATAAAGTGTTTCAATAAATGCCTGGTGTGCGTAAAAACATAAGAAACAAAGTTAGCCTTTATATAAATCGACAACTGACTAAATGGACCAGCCGACTCGATTCAGTCGTTCTTACTAAAGTTGTGGGCACCATAAAAGTACTAAAACTATCTTATACAACAACTTGGGAACAGCGAACGCTAAACTTAACCGCGTCTTGTATCCTAGGCCTGCATTACGGTTGGACCCAAACAATTTATTGGATCGTGAGTAAAGAAAAATTGTTCGGCCAGAAATAGTTAACTTGTTCTGATGAAGTGCTTGTTGTGGCTTTGACATTGAAGATGTTATAGACCTTTGGAGTTTATAAGAAAATCAATAAAAAAGTATTTTTATGAAAGTACCTGTTTTTATTTATTTTGGGATGATGGGGATTGATTGGGTTGACAACAGCCATCAATCAAGTTTTACATTTTCGGTTTACAGTTACATGTAAGGCCAATAACAGTCACCCACTATTCATTTTATTTATACAAAAAGAAACAGTTTAGTACCGCACATATCCAAAATACGTTTAGATTTTTTTAAAATGATGTTAACATTTTGTTATGCTTGAATATTAAGACAATACCCAATGACCTACATATGTATGAATCTTTAGATATTAGGATGTTTCAAAAATTTCAATTAATAATTGAATTTTTTGTAAGCTTATATACTCAGTTTATATGTATTTGTAGGGATACGTATAAACTGAGAATATAAAGCTTACAACAGTAATTTCATATAATATTGGCGTTACCGTTCAAACGAATAGAAATAATGCCATTACCACACATAAACCTAAGCCACCGTCGCATTTTCGCTACATAAAGAGGATGTAGGATTCTGGTGCTTACCTAATATTTGACTAGATAAATTAAAAAAGTTGGACAAGTGCGAGTCGGACTCGCCCACTGAGGGTTCCGCACAAATTTGTAGGAACACAACACAAGCGGCCGTATCGTTTTTCACCTTGACTTAGAAGTGTGATTATTTCCCAGATTCAAGGGACTATAAACTGAAATGCAACATGATTTAAGTTTCAATTTAATGCCTACACGTGTATCCGAGATTAAGGATCTAGCTAGACTCTACACAGACAAACAGACGAACCACAAAGTAATCCTATAAGGGTTCTATTTTTTCCGTTAGAGGTACGGAACATCTTAAAATATTTATTCCCGCATGTACAAAACAGCATCACTCATGAATGAGTCGACCGCTTAGATTGTATTTTTTATGTGTACATGCACAGATCAGACACGGTCGTTGTGCCAGGTCATCTCTATACCTACAATTATTTGTTAAGTGCACCAAAACAGATAATTATTAATGCCTTATTTATTGCTTATAGCCACATAAGGTTATTGGTGGGAAAATGTATTTCTCTAGGGGATTCTAAATAATATAATAATTCCTATCAAAACTTCTTTACACCTAAAATGGATAGGAGTATGATACACTTAAAAAAACTGTTAATGAACAAAGCCGAACATTATGACTCCACCCCACCTGGTCGTTAAGTGTAAGTGGTGTCTTCTATTACACAAAGCGCCAGCTGGTGCAGCAGATAAATTTACACACGTAAGTCAAGGCAATAAAGTTCACTTTATTGGCATACTTTGAATGACCCCAAGATGTAAAGAGGGATCGCGAGTGCTGGCTGAAAATTTTATTATATTATCATAGTTGAAAATATTTCTTTTGCAAAGAAGTTATAATGATAATGGTCCGAACTGCTTTAAATTCGTAATCTTAACCACCTTGTTCCAAATCGAAGACTTAAGTTAAACCTGGATTAAAATTGGTGCTGTCACTTTTGTTTTCTAAAAAGAAGACAGATACAACATCAGGTTAAATCAGAATAACTTTAGTTTGCATTTTGGAATAAGGCAGTTAATTTATTTATGTTTAAATTTGTCGTCAGTTTAGAATCCCGAAAAGTATGTAAGTGCATACTTTGGTGCTATTAGGAGTTTACAAATGCGCTCTTATAATCAATGTCGATGCAAAATAATCAAGTTATAGTCTTCGCAAATGTAAGTTCACGCCCAATATAATACATTTTATATGATAAATCCTATTATTTTAAACAGGATCCAGTTTAATATAATATAATTGACAATAAAAGAAAAAAATAACAAATCAAAAGACATTGTATTGAATTATTTTAAAAAAATCATGGGGCAAATGGCACTGATCACGACTGTGCAATTTGGTAACAGACATGGTAACTTTCAATATCCAATCAACCTGTGTATCAGAAATAAAATATTTGCTTTGATTTGATTTGAAAATTAATCGTCCTCAATTATCAAGCATATATGGAGTCCAGCGAAGATACTTTAGGCAAGGGGTTAAGGTATTCTATCTAATCGTTTGAATGATAATGGTGATTTAAAGTTCAAAAGCATTAGCACCTATTTAAGTACTTATCTTAAGCTCAACCAAAGTGTATCAATCAATATATTGTTGTATGAGGTTAAGTACCTTGCGATAATAATATGTACACAGTAATGTAGTAATTTTCTTAAATAGAAAGTTGACCTATTACCTAAACCGCCCAACCCAATATTACACCTAGAAATAAAAGCTCTGGGAACATTATTTCCTTCGATAACACAACACCAACAAATAGTATTATTTCACAGGTATCTGTAAGATTAATATTTAGCCTTTTTTGAGCTTAAAACCTCTTGAATTAATCACACTTCAATACCTATTAGCAACATTTTTCAGTGCAAATATTTTAGCCATCAATATGCCATAAATAACCACGTCTTGGGCGCAACGGGAAATGATGACCAGTCTCTACTTGTGCAGGACAAAGTCCCATTTTATATAAAACAAAGGCAGACGAGACTAACTACACTTCTATTCCATATTAATAGCATAGGAACGTATCTGGCCTTCTCTCAGCACTCTTTATTACACAGCTCACTAAAAGTAATTCTTCTTATCTCCAGCGGTAACCACCGTAAACACACTTGCGCACATAATACTGTAAATATGAGGAGGATGGCAATAAAGGGCCTCGTGTGTTATAATGAGAATGTTGGCCTCAGGAGGCCTAATAATTATGCCGTAGTAACGTGTTATCAAATAACATAACACATGCGTAAGAATACTTACCTGCCTACCTGCCTTTTCTGAATTTCCACGCTAAAATATTGTTAACCGTCGGAGAAATGTTTTGCCGCGGAATTAATTTATTACGCACTGCTTAATAGGGTGTAGGATAAAAGTGTTTACAATTTTTTTTTAGCACGCATGAAAAATATTTAACCTATATTTATCTTAACCGGCTGATTTAATATTTCAGTTTCAACAAGGTTGCAACGAAATCTGTTAGACTGGTAATACGTAGAGTTGCTTGAATTTTGCGTAGGCATTTTCTGTTCAATACAGAAAGTAGAATACTTACCATATCAGTTCCGTAGTAACTTTTATTCGTAGCAGCGTGGTGTGCGTCTCCTTCAATTTCCTGTGTTGTTTGCGTGTGATAGCTCGTTGTGCGAGGCGCTCGGCTCAAGTCAATACAAATTGTTATCCGCGATACGATTGAGGCTTGGGGTTGGCTATTGCTTTGTGAATGTTGACGCACCGAACTGTTTACTTTGCACATTGGCTCAGTCTGTTTATGTTTCAGATTTCTACTATGTTAGTAGATTATGCATTCTTGCCGTTCATGCTCAGCGGACCGAAAATATAATTTCTAGAAAACGTAATAAGGGCGAAGAAAAAAAATCCATTAGCTGGTCGTGTTTTAAATTAAATTCCATTTAAGGTATTTTCGGATGTTAAAACAAAGAAAATTATTTTTTTTGGGGAACCAAACGTAGCTAACTAATTATCGCAGCGAAAAATAAAAAGAAAATTCGTTCAAGGAGCTTATTAAAATAATCCTGTACTGAGCGGGAATTTCCTCTGGCCATTTGTAAGTCGTTGAGGGCTGGAGGGTCTTGTGCTACTTCTTACCGAGTCGAGGGCTTTCAGAGTATGAATAGGCAAATCGTCACCTAAGGGGCGAATTCCACGAAAGGATTTGCACTAAAGCGAAGAATTTTTACTTTTATACCTACTACAAGCAGGTGTTGTGAAGTCGTCGGTTAAAATAAAATTTTAAATTATACTGTTATTTTTGTTATGTAACATTTGCTAAATATTGTATTTATTTTGCGCCGCAAAGTGAAATAATGTTGAAGATGCATGTTTCCTATTAAATTAGTAACTGTGCGTATGATTTTCAGTGTATTTTCAATGTTTGAATGATATAAAAAGGCGTCTTGCATAGTCTATTAATATCGAATACTATCATGTAATAATGTAACTGTAGTATACATTATGTTTTATTATAAAAATAAAGAAATTTCGAAATAAAAAAAAATCAATTGTGAAGTCGTCAGTTAAAAATAAATTTTGAAATTATTACGAACCATCTAAATTTTTAAATGAAGAAAACCTTGTACTTTTTTTATGCAGTGTTTTTCTCACTTCACGTAATATTATATTTCAGCTCCATAAGCAGTGTTGCTAATAAAAAGTCATAAATTAATAGGGATCAAAAGCTTTTATGAAAGAATAAGAATTAATTAACCTGAGAATTAATATATTTAAAACAACATAAAAAATTTAGGTTTTAAATTTTCGTTAAACACTTTATCTGACGGCATACCGCTAAAACAATATCTGTATTTTATGACATGAAGATTAAGAGGACTCTAGAAAGTAAAAGACGAAGTAATTACTATTTGTTGTAAAAATATATTTCAGAGGATTGTTTTTACAAGAGGATGGATTTTTTCTGCGAATCTAATTGATTTGTACTTACATAATATGGAGTCACGGGCATGCGTGAGTGTTAGTCAAACAAACACAATGACTTGAAATGACACGGAATCAATTATTTGTGCTTATAAGGTGTATTAATGTTCATAGCAGAATTTCAACTCAAAACCTTTGGAAAAGTCAACCCTCTTGTTATAACGAATAATACGTTGACAATAATAAATTCGACCACTAGTAGGTTAACCCGAAACCCATTTTCTTAAAACCATTTATTAGGCACAGTTATTGATGGTGATGCATGTGAGCGTCATAGGTTGAGAAGTTACGTGACTCAATTATAGAGACAGAAATAATTGAAAAGCGGGTACGGGCCGGGCTGCCGGTAGGGGACGAGGACGATTTGACGTATGCCACACTTGCGTGTGTGCACGTTAAAGTATACCCGCACCGACTAGCAGCCCTCAGGCTGCTTGCCGCTTGCCGAATGCATCACGCAATTACCAGAGTCGCGAGGGTTTGTTAACAGCAAACCAACACGGCGTTGGTCATTGTCGTGGATATACTGCATCATTTCTCCCCGCCATTGATCTGGCCCAACGAAGTTTGTGACCTCGAGCGCCCAACGTCACTATGTCAAAAATCGAAAAAAGCTGCGTAACTTTCGACTTTTTTCATATTTTGGTAATTACAGTTTTCGATAGTGTAACTTTTTGAATAGTTTTGTTAAGTAGACGTAGGTCCGTATTACAGAATGACAAATAAGTGTTGATCTTGACTTGAGTACAGTTAGAAAGGGATATCGCTATGTGCTATGTATAGCGACATCCCTTTCTAACTATGCTCAAGACTAGATCAATCACTGAGAATCTTTCTATAATACGGGCCTTAATTTGCTACATTACGAGAAAATAAAGGAGATTGCTCAAATTGGCCCAAATGCACAAAAAATATTGACATACACGGTAATTCTTGGCGTAATTTATAATTTAATTTACAGTCATTAGATTTCAACGGACACCTTTGTGTAATATATTTACTTTAAAAAGGACTTTTAATTTTACCGGTTTGGAAAACATACGAATCATTTTTAATGGCTATGGGTGTAGTAACATTCAGCCAAAGACTGATCGAAGTTGTTTATATAACATTAAAACAAATCTATTTTGTAAAGATCGATAAAATAAATCATTTTTTTTATTACACTGTGGTATTAATATCCACAACTATATTATCATTTTCACTAGATGCAAATGTGCTCAGACAATTATTATAGATGGTAGGCGACATCATAAAGTCTATTGCCATACATTTTTCGCCAAAGACCTCCATAAACACATTATAATCTGTATATATGTTAGACTTTAAGGTATCTATCTATGGGCCTACGTTCCCTGACTATAAATTAATAAATAAATAAAATTATAAGGTGTGATACACTAAAAATATAAAATATGGTTATCTTAAAAACATAACAAAAATAATGAAGCTACTGAATCTATGGCTATAGAACCTAAATCTCTTAGCTTTCTTTGGTTAACGAGAGTTTAAAAATTCTCTCTAATCTGTGGCTCATTCACAATCATCACACAGTTTCTATCACAGAGTACCTTAATATAACCGGAAATGACACCTGATTTTAAAAGTTACCTACTCTTATGCATTAACTTTAAAAACAGGCAACTATCTGTTAATCTACATGCTCTATATACCTGAATCTAATCCATAATTTCGGTACTTGGCTTGATTTCCCTAGTTTACTATATAACTTTTTTGTTTTTTATTATTTTAATATGTTCAGTGTATATGGTTTATAGAAGTTCTCAGGGGTGTCCGTCAATAATATTCGTTTCTACAGTAATTTATATATTATTTCGAATCTAGGAAACAATTTTTCATGATTATTGGTCTTTAGGCCAAATATGTATGGAAGCTGAGCAATCTCCTTTCTCTCTTGATCCAAGTTTCTGAGATAAAACAGTCGAAATTCATATAATTTTAAAACCTATCTTTTTACAATATTTTAGATTCTCTGTGCTTTGAAAAGCACATTACATCAATCGCCCCAACAAAATCCGCAGTCGTGCACATTCACGAATCCGTACTAGGACTAGGGCCGCGTGGCCCATGGCCCATATATATAACGCCTATGTTAGCATTCCAGCAGTGGGGTCATTAATAGGTTGATGATTTAATTATAAAGAAATACCGCGACAATATAAATAAACTTTGGATTCAGTTGAAAAGAAATTAGATTATAATTGCTGGAGATAGTTTGTTTTTTAATTTCCACTTCTATAATAACAGCAGTACTTGATTGTCAATTATAAACATAGAACCAACTACTTTCTTGCGAAGTTTGCAGAAGTCTATCCACGGACTGAGTAGCTCCGGAAAGTAATTATTGCAGGTACGCGATGGATGAATTAATGAACCTAGAGCGCAGTATAGCAGGTATAGACCTATACTTAACGTGATTATCTATTTATTAGCTAATCGTTTTGAACTTATTTATAGTATTTTTTTTCATTCAAGTTTCATTTAAGACATACAAAAGAATATTAAAATATAAGAACCTAAGTAATAAATTTACCAGAGTGACAATTTTAATACAGCTGGTGTCGATTTTAATGAATAATAGTTATTTATGCAACTTTTGCAAATGAGGGTTATTAAAATATGAATTTGGGTTTTCATAATACCACCCATCGAGCAGTGAAAATTGTGGCTGTATGATAAGTAACTCCTTGGCGAGGAAGGGATTTAAAAAGTGAAAGAGTGTTATTATGAAATTTATAAAAAAAACATTGTAACACCCATTTGGGTGTTACGATAGTCTTTTTTTTAATTACGAAATTGGATGTTTTAGTTTTGGCAATAAGCTGTTTCAGAAACTTTAATAGAGGTTTTAAAGCATGGTTGTAGATGTAATAACTTTTCAGCACTTTCAGCGTGTTTATCTCACTAATTTCACATGAAAATAGCTTCCATAAGCATTATGAGGCCGACACAAGCATTTTATAGGGAATAGGTAATTGCCCATTCATTAACTATTTCGCGGTGTTCCTCTGATTTATGCTCTTCCCAAAAGATTATGGGAGTATTTTTTAATATTACGCTCAACGAAAAGTCTTAGCTCTACGTACTCGTAGATACTTACCTTACGAGTTGTTTATAATTACTTATACAAGTAATTATTTTTAAACATTAATTAAGTCCTAGGTGGAATTGTATCAAAGTAAAAGTCATTACGCCACTTGCCCCACGGCTCTGGAATATAAATTGTCACCTAAGGCGGAAGGCAACTCATCTCGACGGATCCCATAAACTTTCATCGGGGAAATGCAAAACAAAGATTACTTACTAGGCGAACAGGCTAATGCTCTCATGAAAGTAATAAAAACTTGTTTAATGAGATCTGTTCGTCGTTTGCTATCCTCTAGGAATGACAATTAATAAAGAAATCTTAACCATATCATTGTTTTATGGTTGCAACCATGATATATAATGTTCTATTTGCTTTTATTATTATATACCTATCCAGCCACATAAAAAGACTAAAACTATTAGCACAAATAGAGTTGGGCTATAACGACTTATGCTCTTGTGTAGCGTTTACGCCAAATGTTTTGGCTTGTTTGTACTCTTGAAGATTTGGGTTTTTTTATTATTAAATAGTCAGTCACACATCAAGAAACCAAAAATGACAATTTTTTCTCAGCCGATTATGAATCGTAAGTTATGCTAATTAAGGCTTAAAATCATTTGGAAAAATTTTACCCTTTTGGATAATTTGTCCTGTGGCTGTCTTCGACTTTATCAAGGGTGTGTAATAATTAATACACTGAAATACAGGTATATATCTATATTCAATGTCTTATTTGTTTAGTTTGTCACTAACTATAATTATGATAGTTAAATTAGAAATCTACATGTACAAAAATTGATTTTATATACACGAATTATCATGCAACTATGCTTATGCTAATTGGTAGTTAAATACAAATAATATTTCTCTTTTTCATAATTTCAGAAATTTACAACAACAATCGACATCGACATCTATTATTATGAAAGGGATCATTTCAGAGAAAACATTTAAAATTTTCAGCTTTGTTTTATTGAATCTAACAGCTAGTAACAATAAAATTTTGATTTTATTAAACGTAGGTATATTTATACCCACTTGATGTTAATCTCGATAATAAAATTGTAGATCGATAACATTTTTATTAATAGTAAATTCTTAAAAAAATGAACAAGATTTTGTTGAGATGTTTCCACACAATTCACCTGCTTGTATGGAATATTTCCTCTAAGCTTTAGGTACCTACCACTCTTGTGTAATGAATTACACCCGCATTCAAAAGCGAATCCCTCCAAGACTATTCTAAAAATTACACATCATATAAAGCCCATCTCGTGGATCTATCTACTTTGCAAACAAATACTTTCATCGCGCTCACATAAATTAAACTCGCTCGCATTACAAAATCACTTTTCCGTTTTGAATTCGGATGTGACTCTATGGGGTTTGCAGCCACATAACTACAACCACCTATCCTCTAATAAAGGGGAATTTTATACTTTTTCTTTTATATACAATACGTCGACCGAACATTTGGCACAAAGGGGCGTTTAACGCTCACAAGTTGCCGATTGACGCTCCACGTCTTTCTGAGCAAATATAGGTATGCAGAAATATCTACAGAGAATATTTCATAGAGCGAATATTCTACAACAGCGCGATGTTTCATTTTCAGCCGTACATCATACATATATTTGAGCAAACTCTTATAGACTTTTTTCGCTTACACAGCACACTTACATCGTTTTATAAAAACACCGAACGTGACACGCGATAGATTTCGATAAAATGAATGTGTATCAAGTTTCACTGGACACTGGAATATTAACCTTTTTCTCCTTTATTGCACTCTTCGGATAGTGTTAAGATATAACGGTATCGGTACGAATGAAATATCACGCTTATGTAGTCTCTCTTACTATTCTCTAAGTACTTAACTTGATTTATAATATTGGTGAGTTCTTAATCTACATTATTTACATCTCACAATCAGTCGTATAGTTAAAATTTTGGCAGACAATTTTACTCATTTAAAACTTTCAGTTGTTGTTTGTTTGAATATATATTTTTAAATACAAAACGCAAAATATACGGTTGGCACTGTAAAGTCCTAAATAGGCCGGACTAAAAGCTGCTAAAAATATTATGCTTAATATAAAATACGTATAAATTCTGTGATATAATTAAAGATTGGATGAATACAACATATAATTTTCACAACCTGTAACTGATGTTGATGATCGAAACGTGAAGTGACAATAGAGTTTCGGGACACTAATTAAATTGAGGTTATAAAGACGATATTGTCAAAAGTATGTCAAGTCTCAAGAGTGTCTTCTAGAAATGTCCTCGGGATGTTTTAGAAGTTGCTGTCGTACTCTGATCGCCGGCGCGAGTAGTGCGATCGCGGGTATTCCCCGGTGTAGCCGTACAGTTGCGACCCTCCTCCCGTTTGCCCGTAGAGTTGCGAACCTCCACCACCACCATACCTGTAGAGAAAGGATAAATTTGATTAAACAAACTAGAATTCATATGATTTGTTTTTTGATTAAATGATATTTAAATTTAAATAACAAAAACTTAAAGACTATTAAATGTCTAAAATTTTCAATCCTACCTCAGCCTACTTAACTACCTACTTAAAAATATATTATTTACAAAATAAAATTCATTGACAAAAGTATTTTTTTTTAATAAATCGACTTATAAAGCTTATACAATTTTTGAATTTGAAAACACAGTAAATACGACGCCTTGGTCAACAGTTCCGGATTATTTCAGAGAGCGTAACACCGAAACTTACGAATTCTCAAAGATAATAGTATCGTCATTTTAGAAATGATTGTCTTCTTCGTTACCAAAGCTTAAAGTCGAGCAATCTTACGATCCATAGAACAAACGATCGATGTTTGCTTTTACGAACAACTTACCCTCATTAAAATGTATTTTACGATACAACTAAAATTTTAAAATATAATGATAAAATATGACATACCCATATCCATTTCCAACGGGCCCGTATATCTGCGATCCTCGACCGGAGTCCGGTGTGTAGTGTTGCATGTACTTTTGCAATTGCGGTGTCCATTCCGATCTCCAGGAATCTCCTGGATTTGGGTATGCTAGCTGCTCTATGAACGCCGTCGACAAACGCTGTGTGATAAAAGTATTTATGTTGAAATTGCTGCTATCTAAACTGACATCAAAAACAAATACTCCGGTTGCATACTCTAATATAAATAAAAATATATAAGACTATTTCTTTAAGCAATTATCATTAATCACTCAATTAATTTTGATTATTACAAATTCTTTGGAAACTATTATAAAGCTATCAATTATTTGCAAGGCAACTAAATATAATATTCGTAGTCGCGATTGAATGATAATTAAAACGCGGAAGTGAACATAGACGAGTGTTCTTTGTTCAAGTTAGGTCCTTTTCGAATAAAAAATAGCAATCTAAAAACAATGAACAAGCTTATTTTTGTTTTTTTGGAATCGAGTTTATGCAGATGGCTTATCGATCAACATTTTATTGAATTTATTATGTGTATTTTTAAAATGATTTAGTTTTCTTTATTTTCGTTTATTTTTTTATTTTTAGTAATGAATTTGTTTATACATTACATTGTACTGCGTCTTTGTATGCCAAGGACTTACCTTTCCCGATGGAAGATAGGGCAACTCTCTGTCTTGTTTGACTTGATGAATATCATCAAAACCTCCCATATGACTTTTGTCAAGCTCTCGGAGCATATCTTCACTAAGTGGGATAGGCTGTTTAGCTTTTGTACTCTTCTGCCGATTCACCAGCTAAAATTTCAATTTATATCATTGCACACTGTGTTAATTTAAAATCTGGGACAAATAACATAAAGTGGTCTAATTTACTTACCACAGTGACCCCAAATATTACGACGAACAAAAGCGAAGCAAGAGCTATTACAATAACAGCGATACCCCACTGAGGCAGGAGAGCTTCATCGTCAGTATCACTCTCTTGAGTCGGTTCTTCTCGTTTTGGTAAAACTAAAATAGACGAACCACCTTTTAGTTTTAAAGTAAAATAAGTTAACTTTTGTTAGGTAAATGGATATGTTATCGGCAATCTGAATAATCCGTCATTTTATACAATACCTAGACAATGTATGGAACCCCAAAATCGTCAAGGCCATGAATATAATATTATTCATTTTATACTTAGCCTAGGTATTCATACAATGCCGAATGCGTAGTCGGCAATGTGCGTAAAAAAGATAGCAAGTCAACTGTTCCTTATTTTATCTATATATTTTTCTGTAATGATTTATCTATCAGATGGCTGGCTTTCCGTCGGCTGCTGCCGCGATATGCTCGCCTTGCTCGCTCGGCTAGCGTTAAGTTTAGTTCACAACATTAACAAAAACCTAACCCATTGTGAGTTGGTCCAACGTTAATTGGTCAGTATTTCATTCGAATTTTATATCCAACTGGCTATGCTAAGTTAGGTTTAGTTAGGATACTACAGGTCAAATCTGTTTATTTTACACATTGCTAATGGTCAGCAAGTACTCTACACAATTCCTAGGAATTGTATATATTACCTAGGCAAAGTATAAAAGGAAAAATAATATTTGAAGTTATACTTCTTTAGACGCGTTATGAAAAAATGATGAGAGTGAAATTTTTAGATGCGCGCGCATCACTGTAACCCAAAAGTAACAGCATGAAGTTGGCCGCGGGCGCGTTATGAAAAAATCATGTGAGTGAAATTTCGAGATGCGCGCGCATCACTGTAACACAATAGTAACACCATGAAGTTGGCCGCGGGCGCGTTATGAATGTTAGTGTCTAATAATTAGACATCTGTTCGAAAGGTACTTTGAACGATCCACGGAGCTCCATAAGATGATCGCGTTGTCAAAAACAATGTTGGCACGCTCGTCGCCTCTGATCACTGTTTTCATATTTATAATATTTATCCACATGTTTCTAGTTTCTATATAGACACAACGTGTTTTATTTACTTACAAGTGCTAATTACATATGGACTAATAACTTAAATTCAGTAGTGATTTTAATTGAATATTTTGAATATTTATTTAATTTTTAAAATTAAAACTGTACTTAATTGACTGTGTTAACTGTCCTTTTCCAGTCCTTTTATTATTTTATTGTAATAATTAATTATTTGCATGCAATTAAAAAATATTTTTAATGATGCTAAAGAAGTATAACTTCTCACGCGCGTACATAAGTTACACGCATCCATTTATTTAAACATTGCCTAGACGTCCCAGGCATTCTATACGTTGCCTAGATATTGTATAGAATACCTGCATTATACAGATTGCCGGATTGAAAAATATTTTAACGTGAAAAAACGAGTTTTTAAAATTAAAATACTGGTAATGAATGGAAGTTTAGATAACACATAATGTATTATTTAGTCTTTTATTGTTATCTCTTTTTCACTTTTAACGGAATTTAATTCAAAACATACATGGTTTTTATTTACCTATAAATTCAGTATACGCGGGGTCCATAACAAATTTTCCGATTTCCAGTTTACCGACAGACTTATCAATTGTTTTAGTCATTTTTTCGTTACTTTTTTTCATTCTATCTTCGTCTGGTTGATCACCCATCATCTGATCTGGATCAAACTCGTCACTTGATTGAACTTGTAGTGTTTCAACAACAGATCCTGGTTTTGCTTCGTGAAGAGACTGATGGAACATTTTCTTCAGATCTAATGTATCAACTCTCTCTTGAACGTCGTTCAACTCGATAAAGTAGTCAACTAAGACTGATCCCTTAGTAAATACGTCTATGCGAATATTTTTATACCATTTTTTTAGATTGTTCGCCTTAGAATATACAGAATTAAGCTGAAAATAAAAGCGAATATTATTTAAATGAATTAGTGAATAGATATTTAGAAAATATTCAGGTTGTAAATACATACAACCTACGTTTTGGAAATGAGTGTAAACACAGATAAAATACTACCTATACTAATTTATAGATACAATAAATCATATGAATGATTATTATATTTTTTTTTTATTATATTGCTTATACCTCCTCTTTTACTTCATTTGCTAGCTTTTGCCATTCCTGCGTGTTTCGATCCAATAATTCAGGCACCCATTCTGCTCCTGTAAATAAACACAATTAATAGAAAAATATAACACTCGTTTCTTAACAACAGTGTTGAATTAATATTTGTTTACTATTTAACTTTACCTGCAACGATTTTTATAGTAGCAGCAATTTCGCATTCTTTCCTGCAAACTCCTGGAGTGGTGGGAGCGGGTGGAACTGGTGTCGTAGTCGAAGTCGTAGTAGATCGTCGCGTTGTTGCTTCTGAGAAATCTGGCATCGGACTTGTTGCTGTGGCATTCCTTTGAGCCTCCAATAATTTATCAATTGAAAATGGTGTAGTAGATGGCGATGGCCATCCAGTGAATTCAGTGGAAGCTCTGGGAAAACAAATAATAATATAAATTATACGTAAAATATTGCTGAAACAATAAAAATAACTTTATCAAAAAAAATTACCTTGTAGGCCAACCCTTTTGAATTTTCGGTGTCACTGGTACAGGACCCATGCTGGTATTGGGTCTAGCAGTAGTTTTTCTACCTGTCTTGCTACCAGGTCGAGATGGGAACACAAGTTTTATTCCACCTGGAGCTTTGGTCGTAGTACTTGATGAAATAACTTCTTCACTACTGTTTAATTTAAATCCAGGTGGCAGGAGACTTGATATGTCGGCAATTTTGACATTAGTCAATATTGGAACATTACTCACTTCTTCTTCTTTCTCAGTAGAGTTTAGTTTAAATCCCGGAGGTAAAAATGATGATATATCACTAACAGGTACAACTTTGGGAAGTAACTCCGTATCAACCTTTCCTTTTTCAGTTGTTGAGGAATTTAAATTAAAACCTTTCGGCAAGAAAGAGGAGATATCTACTTGTTTTAATTTATCTAAAATTGGTTTGATTGTGTCTTTTACTTCTGGAGCTTCCGAAGACGTTGCTTTAAAGCCTGGTGGTAAAAATTTACTTATGTCGTCTTTTTGGAACTTCGTCACCACGTCCTCTTGTGGTTTATGTTGTTTAGGTTTGTATTCTTTAGGAAGTAAAGACTTATCATCTAATATTATAACTCTGTTCTTAGTATTTATTCCTGATGAACGACCTTGGGTTCCGTTCAGCCCTGCTTCATCATATAATGGCGCTGGTGTCGTTGTTGTTGTTGTAGTCGTCGTTGTAGTGGTACTAGTTCGTTTGTCTTTAAATGATAGTCTTGGCTTGTACCCAGGTGGCAATAGTCCAGACAAATCATCCATAACTGTAACCAGCTTTTTCTTAGGCTTTGGTGTAGTTGTAGATGTTGATGCACGTGGAGTAAACTTCTTTATCATCACTGGGAGAGGATCAGGGGAGGACTTTTCTGTTATATTAGGTACTTGCTTGCTCTTTACCGTAAATACATTTAAAGTGGAAGGAGTTGTAGTGGTTGTCGTGGTCGTTGTTGTAGTAGTAAGTTCCGTCGTAGATTCTGTTATAAGCTCTATATTTTTATTTTCTTTGTCTAATGAACCTGAAAGGACATCACTTGACAATTCAGATTGAATGCTATCTAATTTATCATTTATATTTTCAGTAGAAGAAGAGCTCTTAGAAATATTTCTTGTATCATCGAATTTAGGATTTTTGGTAACAGGTTCATCGTCTCCTTCATATTCCTCTTCGTCTTCTTCATCTGATAATATTTGTTTCTTTTCTTCCTGACCCACAGCTGGGAATGGTAAAAACCGTGCACCAGAAACACTCCTGCTTGTTTGAACAGATGCGACTACTATCCAATTTTCAGTTGTAACGGATGTTGATGAGTCATTACTTGAATTGTCTTCTGAGACATCGGATTTTATTGTTACTTTAGCAGTTGTTGGAGCAAAGGTGACATCAGGGATTGATATCGTTCCGTTTACAACACTTTTTGTAGTTACAACGGAGACAACTTCTTGCCCAAGAATCGAAGGTGATTCTACAGAAGAAACTTCTTCATTGGATATGGAGGGTTCCTTTTTAAGCACAAATGTTACATTTTCTTGTTGATCTATCATAGTAGTATCTACAAAATGTTTGAAATTGTCTTCTTGAACCATTGTTTTCTCGGGTTTCATGACTAAAACATCGAACGTTTCTGTTGAATTGGTATTTGATTCATCGGTTGTATTTTCGAATTCCTCTGTAGAATCATATTCATCATATATATCAGTAACATGTTCTGTAGAATGCGGTGTAGGAGTAGTTTGCTTTACTTCTGGAGTTTCAGTGTCGTCGTAATATTCATATTCCTCTTCATCATTTAATTCATCACTTTGCGTATCATCGTGTAGATGTTGCTCTACAGTTTCAGCTTTTTCCGTAGTTGCTTTTATAGTAGTAGTTGATACGGTTGTACTGGTTGGACTGTTTATTGACGATTTTTGTTTGGATATATTATTCATATTCATAGAACTAGCATCGGGCTTACTATCATCAGACTGATCTTTTTCTGAATCAGTATGATTTGACTTTATGACTTCAACGTCGAAAGAACCCTGTTTGTTTTTCATCAGTTCTCTAAATGAACTTATATCACTTATGTCATCTTCAAGTAAAGGTTCTATGTCAAGAAGCGCTTTATATTCAGTTGAGGAACTGTGATGTATACTTGTATCAGTACCAAATCCAACTCTATTAGAATTGTCACGGTAGTTTGTTTTATCATTTAACGATCCTGTTTCAAGGGGAGAAAACCGTGAGTTATTCGGTCTATTACTCAGTCTTTGTTTGCTAACTAATTTGTTTGGATTATATGTAGTAACTCTGTGATGCTCAAACAGATCTTGATTATCATTGTCTATATCCTCGTCGTGAGATATATGACCACTCTGCCCATTACTCTTTAAACTGTTACCATCAAATGGTATATTTTTAAATCTACTATTTCGGAGGTAGTCGATGTCTGGGTTATTGATAGTAATCTGACCCAGGAAAGTTTCTGGTTTAGATGGATCATTTTGATATGCAACAGAATGTATTTGTGGAACATCTGGCCTTTTTGTTGATGCTGGATGCACTAGCTGGTAGTTGAATGGAAGGGCCGGCCTAAACCTTTGTCGTTGCGGTGTTTCAACTTCTGGCTGATTTATGTAGTATTGCGTACCCGACTGACTTCTGCCGGTGGGAAGTTGAAAAGGTGAAGGATTTTGATTGTAGTTAGGGCTTGGAAATCGGACGTGGCCCTCATTATATAAAGGTTGTTGTGCTGTTGGCGAAACTCTAAAGTTGTCTCCATGCTCGAAGAAAGTCGAGGGTCGACTATTTGGAAACAGAGGTGGCTGTACTTGAGCAAAACTTCGTTCTACCGGTGTGTAGTAAAAGTCGTTTTCATCTGAAAAGAAAGAAAAAGATAGATTAATATTTGCCTCATATACCGCTTATTTATCTGTTACCAAAATATTTATATTATTGATATAAAAAAATTGTTAATAAATGACATTAAGTAATAAATTATCTGTATATAAAGAAATCGCAGAAATGTATGCGCATATCTTCTGATCGACTACACCACATTGGTAAATTATTTTTTTGTGTCCGTTGCTGCCAGCACCAGGTTTGTATATAAGCATAATTAAACCGAAAAATATATGGCGGTACAAACTTCGTGGGGTCAGCCGGTAGGTATTAAATACCTCAGTTATCCTGTGAGGTCTTGGAGAAATTAATTTTACATTATTTATAAATCATAAGCACTTGATACCCATGGTAGTATAATGTACAAACAATGTAAGGAATGTTGTGTTTTTCCGTTGAATGTTAATAAAGGTTAAGGACCTGTGTGTGACCATATGCAGAGGTTGCCTTGCCTTTGCGTGATGATGCAACTTTATTTTTACCTGTTCTGTTGCCTAAGCAAATTTTCGTCATATAACAGTATTTAATATTTTCAAGACATGTATCGCTTACAAGTAGGTAGAACAGCATCATATAATACATTTGTTTTTTTTCCCCCAATATAACGAGCGACGCCACATCTGGTGGTTGGTTCTAATCTAAGCATCTTTATTAACTATTAATATGAATGTTTATCCATAGTTTCATACTACTATTATAAATGCTAAAGTGTGGCTTTCTTTTTGTCGGTTAACTTTCGACGCTTGAACCGCTGAACCGATTCAGATAAAATTTGGCATACATAGTTTGAGTCCCGGGAAAGGACCCCAGAAATCACCCTTTTAAACGGAAAGTTCACCCACTAGTTAAAATAAAGAAGTGTGACATGAAAACGAAGTCGCTGGCGGAAGCATTATATACTATAATAAATATTTTGGTGGTCGTTTTGTTTTATCACAATTTCGACGATGTCACGAAGGTCGCCATTACACGCATGGAAAGAAATTGTGGAAAGTAAAATTCCTAACCCGTAACCCGAAACATTGTGACATGAAAGTGGCAGTGACTTGGGTTTTTTGTGGCATGCTATTTATGTATCGTCATGGTGTGTTACTTTAAATACGTTTCACACTAAAATTACGCAGGTTATCATGAAAGTTAAATTTAAACCTTTCGAAATCACAGTTTCAGAAATTTGCTTGTCATGACAATACTTGTGTTTAAAGTAAATAATCAGGCTATGTGCTCTCAATCTCAAGTCTCAAAAACCGGCTTTTTGTAGACGAAGCAGTTTTTGTCTTGTCTGTTTATTTATCATAATGCATAAAAGAAAACGAGATCAGATTTTTTCGGATAATATGAATTTCATAGCATCTGTTGCTCAGACGGCATTGGATTCATTGAACTTTTCTTATTCAAGACAAATTGTCAGTATTTAAAAATATTTTAATTTTGAACAAAATCTTTCTGAACCATAGAAGTCATTCACTCATTATATTTAGAGACACAGACGCACAACAGACAGATCAGCCTATTTATATTCGCATATAAATTACTGTGCAAACATATTCTACTATAAGTATTTAGGTCTCCTTCCCCGCCAACTTGTCGCAATAAATTTGTTTAATACCTTCGTCATTCCAAACTTGAAGACAACCCTATTTACCTATTCTAATAAACTAATGTCAGTATCAGTACATGAGTAAAGAATGGACTGGGGCAAAGCTTTAGGCCGTGGGCGTGTGTGTGTGAGCACTGGTAGCCTGTCACCGTCAGTAGAAACGTTTCTGTGTATGCGACATACGCCCCCGCTCATTCACACATATTTGACAAGTTTTAGAAAACGTTCTCACGTTATTAATTTATATTTCTTGACCTTCACTAGTGCTTGTAACAGCCTAGACTGAATAAATGATTTTTGATTTTTGAATGCTTTTGTAGTCCATAAAAAGTAAAAAATCATCAATCTGTTGTGTATTTCAGTTGAAAGTACTAAATCAAAAATTCAATTTGCAAGTTGCCGCGAAAACGTTTATTTGTATTATGTATGTTATGTGACATCACACGACAGTCATTAAAACGTCAAACAATACAATGTAATTTTAGTTTGATCGGAAGTTTACTAGCTAGTTTGATCGGAAGTTTACTAGCTAGTTTGATCGGAAGTTTACTAGCGTGTGACGTCATTCGCCAATCCCAGACGTTTTCGGTCACATGACCATATTAGAACAAAAAAACATTTTTTATTTAATGCTTTTTATAAAGTTATTGATTATTTGTTCTCTCAGAATGGTAAGATCGCAGCTAATATTCATATTAAATACAGATGCCAATATTTGGTATTTTATTTTTTATACTATCAAATTGCTTTATCTCTGTGCCTTCTTTACTCATGTGATATCAGCAAACACAGCATCCCTACATCTGAAACAATATCGTAATGGACTTTAGCTTGTTTTGTCCGAATATTCCGTTAAGTGCAATCACGTGATTCGCTTTTATAGTTTTTTTTTATTTCTCCCTGAGCACGTTAATTTCACTTTACTTACACAATTCTGTTCCATTATGTACATTTTATATCTTCAAAAATGAAAAACAAAATTATGTGCACAAAGTTTAATACCGAATTTTATTTAATTATAGCAAGTACTGTATTGTATCTGCTTATAAGCACACTACATAATTAATTGTATTAGATATATTTCGTATATATTAAATATTTGATTTATTAGTTGGCGATTATACTTTGTTATTTTTAAACTATAAAATTTGCCTGTTGATTTAGACGCTTGATATAAATGTGACGTCAAATTAAATTCAATATGGCGGACTCAAGAAGATGGTGGACTAGTTCTTTTTGATGCACTCCTACAACACGAGTATCAAGTGAAAGGGCTTGCTGAGAATAACTTGAAAAATATCATGAAGTCCCCATAGTTCCAATATTGCGGACTTAAAAAGATGGCAAACTACGTTTTTAATACACTCGGTGTCAAAACAATCGCACCTCCGCGAAAATAACTTTCAACCGTTATTATAGCCCTTAACAACTGCATTTACCCCCAACAATATAGGTGTCATTTGAAAGCCCATTAAAAAACATAAAAAAAACAATTCATTAATTTTTATTTTTTAATTCAAAAATTGCTTGTTGCGAGATTTTTACCTGTGCAGATAAACAAAATTTGATCGGATTGATTTAAAATTTTCAAACTTAACTACCAGTACCTACTTAAATCGTGTGAAAAAAATATAGAATATATTATATAAATTGTGTAATAACGTTATAAGTTGATCGTAAAAGTTTTAAAGGAAAATGTTATTTTAGCCTTCTAGGGCATTTAAATAAAAGCCGGATTTTAAAAAGTTTTTTTACTTTTATTTTTTTTCAATAATCTATAGGTATCTTTTTCCAGGGCTGATTAGTGAAAAAAACATTTAGAAAAAGAAATATCTGAATATCATACAGCATAGACATCCGATACCTCTAAGCAACGCGTATTAACTAAAATATCATTAAAGGTAGTAGGCAAGGGAGATTATATTACCCAGATGCTCCTGAAAATTACCTGCCGACAACGTCAAGCAAGACTACATTAAAGGTTATTTCAGTATAATAAGAGTAGGAATGTTTATATTCTGTTTATTCATATTAATAATATAGGTGTGTTTGTAAACTCTTTAACCGACTAGGAAAAGGATTAGGCATTAATAGTATCAACATTTCGCACCTTTAGAATTGAAGTGACCTAATCCAAAATTCTTGTTTTTTGGTAAACGCTAAAAATGTGATTGACAAGTTGGCCATTTTTTTGTTTTTTTAATAGAATGCCATAAGTTATACGTTTATCATCATATTTTTTATTGTTAATGGTAGGATAGGAATTATTTTCACGATTGTTTACTAAACCAGTCTGCATAACTAATTAGAACCTTAGTTAATTATTCATCAAAAAAAAACATGTCACTTATTTTCCGAAAACAGTTTATTATAATTGGCTTATTTCACTTTGTGCCCATTTTTTACTAAACAACATAAAACAAAAACGTAACTATTTAATATAGAGGCGATTCATTTCTGATGTTATATATTTGACAGATGACCAATTTTGTAATATGCTAGTTTAATAATGAATGGTTTTCTAAATTAAAGGAAAATGAAATAAATGTCCACGCAACACTGAATAGGGTATTTCAATACTGAGGGAGGCGCGGTATGCGTGTCATTTAAAAGAGGCGGAAATAGTACGTTTGCCTTCTTCTGGCCTAAAAGAGCCTGTTTATTATTAATAAACTGATACTATCCATGTTTTTATGTCGTTTCACGTTTAAAAGTCATTTTGCATTTTTTTTTATTTATGTCACTTCATTTCTAAAGGTGCGATTTGTTATAGCAAGAAACAAAATATGTATCAGTGTTTCTATTAGTTTTGTATAGTTCGTTTCTATATAATATTGCTTAGCAATACCTAAATACAATATATATTATATATATAATAAAAATAGTAGAAGTAATATCACGCGAAGCCAACTTCAGTAGGCAGAGCACCCAATCGTTGCATATATGTAACGTGATTCATTCGCATAAAATATCCTAGCTAATATCTGATCCTGCGCCCAAGTTACCTACGCGAGCAACGCCATTTGCTACAATTCATCTCAGTACGAATGAAATTATGTTTGCCGCAAAACATATTCGGAGTAGGGCGCAAAGACAACGCTGGGATAATCTTCTTTTATGGCCCACCCAGTTTATTATAACGTCCTGGTTTCGGGGCCCACATCGTTCGGAAGATAATCTCGAGGAAATTACTTTCTTGCGGATCATATCCCTAATTAAGAACGGCGTCCTCATCAGTGCTCAAGTGGAAGCAACTCTGAACATTATAGGAATTCGATATATCGGTCCTCCCATAACTGAAGCGATTGGATATCCTTTTTCGGAATACAGTGTCATTGAATGGTACGTATATCGTAGGATGATTTGATAAACCCATT